TGCGGATGTCAGTGCGGGTAGGTGGGTGGATATGGGTGTGGGTGCGGGTGAGTGAGTGCGGGTATTGTCTTCTCTTTATTCACACCAATGCCACACCTACATCCACATCCGCATCCCATATCCTACACCCATACCCACACACCCACGCGCAGTCTACAGTTAAGGGTTTTATCGCTTACACAAATCGAAATATGAGTTCCTATTCTTTCTGTTCTTCTTGTCCTCTCTACAACTCTATAGTATTTTATCCTATTTTGAGTAATTTTATTATTATTTTAGGATGAACTTTCTAGAACAAGACGATATGTGTTAATTATGGGCAACAATAGTTCAAAAGCAAGTGCTAAATCATCAATAATCACGAATCATGAAAATTTACTTTTTAACAATCAAACAGCAAATCCAAGTAACCAACGAAATTTTGAAGAGAACGCTATTATTTGGCTTGATTCTACTATTAATTCGATAAATGATAATATTAAAATAAAAACACAATTACGTCAAACAATAAATTATTTAACAACATTTAGTGATAGTGATGAATGTGTTGATTATTTAACATCAATTGAAACAGAAAGAATTTATTTTATTGTATCCGATTTATTAGGTGAAATAATTGTTCCTATTATTCACGATTTCAATCAAGTTGAATCAATTTACGTCTATTGTTCAAACAAGAATAAAAATGTTAAATGGACAAGAACATATAACAAAATACATGGTGTTTTTTCAGAAATGAATTTAATTTGTGATTCACTAAATAAAGATGTTTTGCAATGGGCTAATAATTTGATCCCAATTAGTGTCTTGTCATCAAATGCAAATGATCGAACAAATCAACAAGAAGCATCATTTATGTATTTTCAATTACTTATTGATACTTTACTTGAAATAAAACATAAATCCATAACCAAAAAACAGTTGATTGATGAATTACGGTTACAATATAAAAATAATAATACTGAACTAATAAAAATTGATGAATTTGAAAAAACTTATGATTCAAATGAAGCAATAAAATGGTATACAAGAGATTCGTTTTTATATAGAATGTTGAATAAAGCATTAAGAACATATGATATTGATATTTTGTATAAACTAGGATTTTTCATTACCGATCTTTATAATCAACTTAAACAATTATATTCAACAGATAAATCAGAAACAAAAATAATTCAAGTTTATCGGGGACAAGGTATACCTAATGAAGAATTTGAAAAATTACAAAAAAATATTGGAGGATTTTTATCGGTAAATAATTTTTTATCTGCAAGTATAAATAAACAAATTGCTGAAATATATGTACTTCAAGAAAACAATATTCAACCAGTGCTTTTTGAAATAAATATTGAAACAACTAAATGTAAAAGACCATTTTGTAACATTAAAAACTTTAGTTATTTTCAAGATGAAGAAGAAGTATTATTTTCAATGGCAACTGTGTTTCGAATTCAATCTATTCAAAAATCAGATTCAACTAACATTTGGAATGTTAAATTAATTCTAAATGGAGAAGAAGATGAAGAATTAAATGTATTGAAAGAACATATGGAAAATGATCTTCATTTTGATAAACCAAGTAACTTGCATACATTAGGAACCATAATGCTAGCAATGGGTGAATATGATAAAGCAAAGCAATATTCTCTAATGTTTATAGACGATACTGAACAGGAAAATGTTTCATCTATGATACAAGTCTATATGGATCTTGGACAAGTCTATGATAACCAAGGAGATTTTGATGCTGCACTAATATATTATGATAAAGCACTTCAAATTCAACTGAATTTATTTCCATCCAATCATCCATCTTTAGCAGTATCCTACACTAACATTGGATTAGTTTATTGTAATAAAAGTGATTATGTTCAGGCATTGAATTATTACAAAAAGGCACTCAATATTTATGAATTAAGTTCATTCTCAACAAATTACACAGAGCTGGCTAAAACATACAACAACATTAGTATAGTTTATAATAAACTAGGTGATAATACTAATGCATTGAAATATAACGAAAAATCATTGGAGATTAACTTAAAATCACTTCCATCCAATCATCCATTACTAGCAGCATCCTATAATAATATTGCAACAGTTTATAATGATGCAGGTGATTATGCTCATGCATTGAAATATTACGAACTTTGTCTTCAAATTTTGTTAAAATCACTTCCACCAAATCATCATTATTTTGCAACAACATATAGTAGCATTGGAGAAGTTTATAGAAATCTAAATGATTATGCTAGTGCATTAAAATATTACGAAATGGCTAGAAAAATTCAATTAATTTCACTTCCATCAAATCATTCTGAGTTGGCAAGAACTTATAACAATATTTCTTGTGCTTATTATAATCAAGGTAATTATGTTCAAGCATTAAAATATGCTGAAATGTGCCTTGAAATTCAGCGAAAATCGTTACCATCAAGTCATCCTGAACTGGCAAGAACATATAACAATATTGGAGTAGTTTATAAAGATCAAGGTGATTATAAGAAAGCGTTAAAATATCATCAAATGTGTCTTGAAATTCAGCTAACATCACTACCATCAAAACATTCTGAGTTAGCAGCATCATATAATAATATTGGTCTGTTATTCGCTACAGTAGGTAATTATACTAAAGCATTAAAGCACTTGGAAAGTGCAGTTAATATACTAATTTCACTTCCATTAAATAACCATCATCACTTAGCAAAAACATATAATAACATTGGTGCTATCTATATTGCAATACGTGATTGTGATAAAGCATTAAAATATTTGGAAAAAGCACTTAACATTCAATTGATTTCACTTCCATTAAATAACTTTGAATTGGTAAACACGTATGCTGGCATTGCAGCAGTTTACCTTTATCAAAAGAATTACAGAAATGCACTACAAAACTTACAGAAAGCACTTAGTTGTTGCCCAAATACATTACCACATAATCATCCCATTATTCTTCAAATTAATGCTGGAATAGAGACATGTTTACATTTACATTCACGTAGCCAAGAGGACAATTGTCCCATACTTTGAAAATATTTTGTAAAATTCCGAGCAAACCTTTCCGCAAAATATTTCTTTGCCCAACGATTCCCAAACTAATATATATCATGATTTCTAATAATATGTCATGTCAATCTTTTTTTTTGGAAAATACAATTTTATTTGTATTCTGCTTATGACTCAATCAAGCAAAATTTTGCTGCTTTTATTCAATATATTGTTGGTTTTTATTTATTTTGCGTTGTTATATGTTTATTTGCTTAAATAAACTAGAATCAATCAAATAAAGTGTCTATCTTGTGGGTGTGGGTGTGGGTGTGGGTGTGGGTGTGGGCCTGCATTTGGGGTGTGACTACTAATTTCATCCAAAGCCCACACACCCAAACCCATCTCTATTTGTAAAGAGGTAGACAGCTTAGCAACAGTTCTCTGCTTCGATCAGTAGAAAAACCATTGAAAAATCGATTTATTAAGGGCTTTTGAAAATAACTATAACGAAAAAATTCCAATTAGATTATTAAAAAAAGAATTTTTTCTTTGAAACAGCTTAGCGTATTCATATTTCTTTATGATGTTACTGATTCTGCATTATCAACAACAACCAGTTCAAAATGATTCGGCCTTCTTATCGCCATTGCATTATGTATTTGACTAAATTTCACTGCCGTCGTCAATTCTAGTTCTCTTTGAGCAGCTTGCTTATCAAAGTTTTGACTAAATTTGTACCAGTGAAGAACAAGTTTTGATTCATATTTATAATATCCACAGGTGACATAGTATTTATCTTGAATACGTTCGATAACGTAACGACAAAAGTACACATTAATACTCTTTTCTTGCACATCTTTTGATGCCACACTAAGTTCGGCATGTCCCTCTGTGAGCTTCGCATCATCCAATATCCCACTCTCAACATCGAAATCGAAATTCTTGAAATCTTCCTTCTTCGCTTTTACCATTAAACTATAAGCAGCTTTACCAAGAGTATTACGCAATTTCTCTTCTTGAATTTCCTGCAATGGAAGCATGGTCTCTGTTGCTGTAAGACCTGAGAAAGTTATCATATGCAGCTATTCTTTTGAGTGTATCAAGGGATGTTGAATATGATCCGGAGCTTTTCTGTTTTCAAAAAGCTGATACAGCAAGAAAATATTAGAACTGATAATGGTACGTAGCTAAAAACTTATGTTTGTCGTTCACTTACCATCGAGCTTCATTTGATTGATCTTCGACGGATTAAACACATTTAGTCTAATCCATGCAGTTGAATTGTTCATCGATTTCTGTGTCATAAGAAAATTAGTAAGCGCTGTTTAAATTGGTAAAATAGAAATATTAAAAAGTCTTGGAAATGGTAAATACAGCTATTTTTAATACTGTCATGATGCATTCTTTCACGGCCATTTCGAAACCTTCTTTTCTCTCTCTCTGTTTCTCTGTCAATATTTCTTGGGAAAGCAAAATATTATGATGTAATGTCAGTTATCTCCCTTGTTCTTCTTGACCTATCTTCAAAATCTTACACCTTCAGTTTGAAGTAAGAATAAAGAGCGTACACTCTAAAAAAAAAGTATTTACGAACCCATATAGGATCCTCCCCAGAGCACACGAGAAGATTCTTTTTTTTGGATTCATAGAAAAAAAAGTTTCGTATTCAACAACTTCTGAACAATTGCAAAGAGGGTGTGGGTTGGTGTACATGGATGGTACACCCATCACGCTCATTCACATCCAACACCCATATTGGAGTGGTTGAAGAAGAGTTGAATAGTTATTATGAATTAACGGCTTCTACACTACTGATAGATAAATGGTTCAAATTGAAAGAAATATAGTTACCATCTTGAGTTTCATTTAGTGACTTTGTATGTATATAACACAAGATCATAGACTATGAGTTAATGAAAACTTAATTAGAAATGACAAGATGATTTAACTCATAGAATACTAACGAAATATTTGTTGATGAAGTTTTTAGCAATAACTATTCAAATCGTTGATTTAAAGTATTATATGAAAATTATTTTTCTTATCAAAAATTGATGACGACTAATGTTGATCATGTTTACTACAAATATTCTAGATTTTTTTATTTGCAAAGGAACTGTTCGTTCGTATTAGTCTTGAAAACTAAAAGAAGTTTATTCAATTCAGGCAATAATAATATTAAAGAGATTAATAATTGTACTGGGAAAAATTAACAATCAATCATTAATTATTTCACTTATTTGACTTTTTAGATAAAATTGACTAAAAAACATATTGTTGTCCTATAATTTATTTTAAGTTTAATTTATTAAATATCAATTGATTCTCACTGTGATAGTTGCTTTTATTTTCAGTTAAAATAATAGATTTTTTATTTTCCGAGAAAAAAATTGCATCCGAATGATATATAGCTTTTCATACGACTCTTTTTCAATTTTGCCATTCTGCTTACATATACGAAAGTTTATTCTATTTCATAATCTCATCGTAAGTCTTGATGAAAAAAAAGCAATCATATGAAAAAAGTTTAATTAATCTATGAGTGCAAAAGATATTTACAATCTACTCTTTACAGTAAACAATTGGATTTATTCCTTGAATACAAAAAAAGTTTTAATTAATGCATATTATTTTTTTTCTTCTTTCTTCGTCAACATTGCGAATGTCTAAAAGAATTTGTAATAAAAAAATCAACTATGATGATAAATAAACCTTTGAATAATAAGTAAAAGTAGAGGACACTTTACTGATTAATCTATCTGATCAATAACAAATGAAAAAAGAATCTGAAACAATATTATGGTCGTAATAGAAAAGTAAGTATTATGAGAAGATATTGATAGGCACGAAATTCACAATAATATATGCTATGATATTTGAATTTCAGAAGTATTTTTTGCAAGAAAAACGTCATCATTGTTTTGTCATAAATAATGCAAATTCTTTTTTTGCTCATTCATTTACATAGTTTGAGAGAGCTGGACGAAATATTCACAAATATCGAGTATGGCATGAGTTTTGTGCCATTCTTTGTTTTGTCTGTAACTCGCTATTTGTGAAATTTTAATAGACAACATACACTGAGCAGCATGTGCATCATCGTGTTGTTTTCCCACAAAAAAATTGAAGAAGTTCATATTGTGATAGACAGCTAAGATCATTTTTAATCAAACCAATGTTAGATAACATGAAATGAAATTCTCATTGTATTATTTTATTTTATTTTTTTTGTTTTGTTAATCTTCATGTTTTATTACTGTTCCTTTCGACAGTCGAGGAAGTTTAATGTAGTGATTTTGTGCATTGAGTAAAAAATGTTATATTGCACAACGAAGCATCTAAATCAATTGATATAGAAGTTATTCTTCAGTTGTAATTGAAATGATGATGAGCAATATTCTTCATGGTTTGAAGTTCACACTAGATCTCTGATTGGTTTCAAACATTATAAAATACAATCAATGAACAGTAGTTAATAAAACCAAAATTCAACAAGTTTCGATTTTTTTCTTAATTTCCTTTACAGAAAATAACACGGTGATACACATATTCAGTATTAATTGTTTATTAAAATTTCGAGAGAGTAACTATAAAGATTTGGTATTGTGATTCGAGTGGAACATTCAATGATACAATGACTGAAATGTAGCATTGACAATTGTGAACTCGCTTTGCTTTTAATAGAATTTGTCAAATTTCAATTACATGGTTGTTTCGATTCTAATTCTGCACTGAAAAAATGGATAAGAAAATATTATTCGATTAGATCTAGAGGTAATAAAGTGAAAAACCTACTCAATAGAGATAACTTCAACATGCGTGATAGCACGTATTGGTGAAAATATACTTGTAAACCTATCCAGTTTTTTCTAACAAAAGAGAGAAACAAATTTCAAGTGTTTTTTTATTCCCACAGGTCAGTTAAAAAGGCTAAATAGATAACTTACTCGAAATAGAGCATTAAAAATTACACCAAACCACATAGATCTTAGTAAAAGCTGTTTCCGATGGAACATATACCTGTGATTTCCTTAATGCACTAAGAATTAGTGTTTTTGAAAAAGAAAAAGATCCTTAAAGTGTATATGATTCGGTGAAGTTTTTTATACTTATCCCGAATATGCTATCTATTTGACAATATCTATTCAAAACAAAGCGCGTTCACAAGTGCTAACGCTCTATTTCACTCATTGCAGTTTTCTTTCAAACAAGTGGTGATTGAATCGAAGCAAAAGCTATATATTTGTGGCCAACTCGTCAAGCTCTATCAAACTATAGATAATACTAATACATAACAGGTTATATTGTTCAATTTTTGAAATCAAACAAGAAGAGTCATGTCAGCTTCAATGACGATTGACTTTTAGTAATATTAACTTTCGCAAAGAGTATAACTTCTTTTTATAATTGCATTATGTGTTTTTCTCTTACAATGAACATATATTTTGAAATTTGCATATTGATTTATCGAAAGTAGATTAGCATTTGTTAACAATGATTTTTTTAAAATAATAAACAGCTACGCGTTGCTAGTGACTATTAGTAGAGCATCTACCGTCAGTGTGATTGAATATTAATCAACTTGAAAACAACTCGAAAAGTAATCATCATTGATACGGTTTCGAATTATACAAGATGCAAACGCTCGCAAATTTTATTCACTTTTTTATTAAGAAAACGCGTGTTTTACATTCATCACAAGCTATAGCAAAGGAAGAAAAACTGATAGAAGTTATATTTCATATGTATCTTAGATCATAATCATTCCAATGAACAGCAATAATATTAAGGAACAATTGATACTATTGCAATAATAATTATGTTTACAGATATTGAAAATTATGCTGTTAACCTACATTCGATTATGAGAATCTATAAGTCAGAGAAATTATGAAGTTTCATATTAATAATATATTGAATTTTTATTTTGAAATACTTATTGGATAGAGGCACTTAAAAAATAGGGTATTTTTGGAAATAAATGGATCTACTTGCAGCTCACATATTCCAATAGCAAGAGAACAATATGTTGATCGACTAAA